AGTTGTATTGGAGGGAAACAGCTGTGACAAGTGTTAAAAAATCTAGATGAGAAATCCCAGATTTAGCAACAGTAATTATTATATATGAATTGCTCCAGTGTCGTGAGCTGACATGGATTGTCTGGTTAGATTCCATATGAGCACATGATGTTGGCAAATATGTGATGAACAGTGATGTCAACAGAGATGACTAGGGCTGAATGATGTGCACAAAAAAAAAAAGAAAACATATTGGGATTATTTTTGACAGATATTGTGATTTCAGTCGGAATAGTTGTTTTTGCATTTTTCATTTTTTTTGTTGGTTTTGTACCAAAACAAACACGTTTCTTTACGTGTGGAGAACATGATCTGCAGGCCGGGGCGTCTCTGTAGCACCACCAACGCTTATGGTGCTAACAACGAACAGCTCTACAGATACCTGAAATGCTTATTTTCAACTGTTGTTTGTATTAATTTAAAAACAGCAACTTTGTCATGATCACATTTGCTTTAACTCCCAAATATCAATATTGGTATTAGCCTCCAATCACAGATCACTGTCGGGCTCCAACTCGTTGCTTAGATAGTTTTGGATTTACATAATAATTTGCCAGTTTTAGACAAAAGAGTTTGAAACCTTTTGCCTCCTTGTCGCTTCTTGTATTGAAAAATCTTTAACCATGTAAACAACACCAACACAAGCAGTCTGGCACTTGCATGATACACCACTGCAAAACATGAACAACATAATTACCATTGAGAAATAGCCGTTAAACAATGTTCAAAATGCACTTTACACGTCTTTCTGTTTGTCTTCATACACTCTCCAACAGACGCCATGTCAGTGGTGTATTTTTACTTTGAGTGTTGCTGATTATACATTTATCACTCTCTCAGTGCCTTTGAATCATTTCCTGTTTGTCTTTTTCCCGAGCTCAACCGCCCAGCCTCCCCGCTGGACTTCCACAGATATTTCTCATGCCACAGGGAGGGAGGCCTTGTCCAGTTCTCTCCCTGCTCTTACATGTATTTATAACTAATCCTCTTGTAATCAGTTACAATTTATTATTTGTAAAGGTCATCCTATAATCTGCTCCCTTTAGCTTGTGCAGCTCAGTGTTTCCCCCGAGTGATATCTGTGCTGGTCCCGTCCCGGGGCTTCAGCTGTGTTCCCTCCGTCTGGACTGATGCGTTTAGATCAAGCAGATTCATGTGTTTTAGTTAAAACTGGGTGTTTATTAGTCCTGTGGTAAACGAGGGGTCCTGGATGACGACACCAGAGAGGGGTGGTGTCCCCGCGCTGGTCTAAATTTCACGTACCACTCCCTCCTGGATGAACCCTATCGCACATTTTAGCATCATTACTGATTCTCCTGCAGTGGCTGTCTCTCGCCTCGCCCGTCTCCTCTTTCACTCCTCTCATGTTTCCACTCTGTCGTAGTCAAAACAGGTCGGGCTGCTTTGTGATTGACAAGCAGTCGGTGTCGCTTTGATTCATCTGTTTATTGCAAAAAAAAAAAAAAAACGGTGACAGTTGCTTCATCTCCAGAGACGTACGTGTCTGAAATGTACATTTAGCTCCAGCAAAAATTTCAAGCCGTGTAGTTTCAGTAAAGTCTCAGAATTCGTTCGGTTGGGGTCGTTCGGTGTGAATGTCAGGCCTCGATATCCGTGTTACACAGTGATTAGATTTATGTGCTTGTGGGTTGTTGTTTTTTGAGTTATTGGAGAAATTAATGGAAAGCATTTTGTCACATAACGGGCCGAGATTCAGACCACAACCGGTATTCTGGTGTGTATTCGCTGAGGTGACACAAGATCTGCTGAGCTGACACATGAGTCTTATTTTTATCTTACTGTCATGGGTTTGTGTCATACAGTGTACAAAAACAGAAACGGCTAAATGCTCGCCCACTGTTGGAGCTTTCAGATACTATCTTCTCGGCATGAGCTTCATGAAGGCGCTCTTGTGTCGCCCGCAGCTCGCTCTCCGCTGGGTTATATTAATCAATAATAAGTCTTTGTAATGTGTCGGGGATGGGTGGTGAAAGGCTACAATTTAGGATGTGAAATGCATGATTTCCATGACTCATTTGGTCTATATGTCGGTGTCAACAAAAGAGTCTCTTTTCCCATTCTTGTTGAATCATTGACATTTACAAGCATTTTTCTTTCCAAAGACAAAGTCAAGAGCTGCAGCTAAAGGTTATTTTGGTCTTTGAATAATCAGGGGACTAATTTTTCAACTCATTTGTCAATCTCACAGTTAATTTCTTATTTCTATTACTCCATTACGAGAAGTAGATAAATACATAAATTAGCCTGTTAGAAATGTTGAAATGCATAAACATGTTTAAACCTATTGAGGTGAATGGTTGTAAATTGCAGATTGTGCGCGTGGAGGAGAGAGCGCAGTAATAATCCTCAGCGTTTCATAAAACATCTAGATGTCTGTGTGGTTTCTTTTATATATAAATATATTTTTTTACACTTAGAGAAACAACAATATCGCTTTATTTTAAGTAACAAAGTGTCTGCTTTGTCGCTTTATATCGTCTTGTTGAAAGTCTTTCTTGGAATAAACTTCATACAAGTAGAAAACGCTGCTCCGTCAACACGTGTCCGGCTCTGTACTGTAGGCGAGCTTCTTAATTACTGATTCCAATTAGCACAACACACTTGCCAGATACCAGCTGGCGTCGATCCAGAGAGTTTTCTTCCTCTTTTGTCTCTGGTGTATTTGAACTTACTTACTTTTACAGTAGAAAATGTTTGGACTGCTGTTTTTGCACGGTTTCAGTTGTGTAACTATTAGACAAATTAAAATTTGTGTAATTTTTTTTGTACTATTATTTTTATTAATTAAGAAATTATTTGGTCTGTAAAATAGGATGATATGGAGCAAAGTGATGTTTTGAAACTATTTATTTGTCCAAAACAGTCCAAAAAACTGATGGTGTTTTATTTACAATATATATAATAAAGTAGAAAAGCAGCAAATTGTCAGATTTGGTAGATTTACTGAAACCGTTCATTATCAGCATCATCATTGGTTAAATTTCTGCAGACTAATTAATGCACCAACTACTGCAGCCTTAAGTGGCTGCTTGATTACTCCTCGGATACACTGTGTTAACTTGATAACTTTAATAACTTTTATAATTATGAAATCGCTGTGTAAGTGTGTGCGAGTTAATGTAAAATGGCACAATTACACAGTATACGCGTGCAATTGCATATCAGTTTTCAGTCAAACTCCTCCTGTCTTGACACAAACGGGGCCCTGGGAGGCGAATGGTGCACTGGATTAGCCAGCAATGGCGCACAGTAGTTACAGAGGTTTAACCCAATGATCCCTGCTTAAACATGAGCTTTAAATCCACACAGCTGACATACAGCCATTCACTGGGACGCTGCTGCTCTACCTACTCGCTGCGTTCAAGACTAATGTAGTCTGTCACACATTAAACACGTTTTTTTTATACGCAACAAACAGTGCAAGTGCCTCTCTGTATATATGTCCTTGGTTTTATGTCTTTGAATAATGAATAATGTAGGTGGTTTGGTTTGGATAAGACGCAGTGTCAAACACTCCAGTAAGGGCGCACAACCCAGATAATCAGTCAACGTACCTGAGAAGTGGATGGGATAAATATTTGCAGAGAATTGTGCAACAGAGGAAGTAACATGTAATTATTAGCTTTGGCTTGGCAGTACTGTAAACCTGAGTGTCCTTCCCTTTAAACCCAGGACAGGACATACAGTTTGCATGTGTTCCCCTGATGCATCAAGACAAAAACGTGTGCTCTCTTTGTATTCTCATTCAAAGAAAGAAGTAGTCTATGTACAACCATAACTATTGATGGTACAGATATTGTGTTAAAACATCTTTTTAGTGATGAGATTAAATTTTCAGCGGTTACAGTACTTCCTGTTCAGTCCTGTACATCTACTACTAGTTGTCTTTTTCTGCTTAGGATTAATGTTCATAAGCCGAAACTGATTCTGATACTGGTTTTGTTAATCTATAATCAGTTTCTTTAGACCTCACGTTGACTATGTTCCTGACAAGTCAGTGCATCAAAGAAAGAATAAATGTGCAAACCACTGCCCGAGGATATATGTCTAGCACCATGTACACGCGCTTTTATCAGTCAGCTAATGTAAACAACCATTAGAAGTCGGCCTCCTCTGTCAAACCTCTCAATTAAGACAAACCGGCGGCTGCTCCCGGTGGACAAACTTCAAACTGAACACGGCCGACAAACATGGTTCAGTGAGGCGCAGGTGAAGGAGGCTGTAGTGCTGCTAAACTTCTCCATAAACCAGCCGTAAACAAGGGAGAATTGCCGAAAATGACCTCAAACCAGCTATTACTCCGTCTCAGTTTCTGGGCAAAAGCATCAAACTGACAGAAAAAGCTTAAAATCCTAAAGCTGTAAAGCCACAGGCGCTGGACCAGTCGACCCAGTTAATATATGTTCTTTTAAAACACTTTTAAAAGAGTTCCTATATGAGCTGAAAGTCGGTACTTTAACTTCATAGGCTGTGTTTCACTATTGCACTGAAAAAAGAAAAAGAAAAGTGGCCCTGATTCTGTGCAGCGTTTCTATTATTTATGTTCTAATACTTTTATTCCATAGTAACCGTTGTTATCAAGAGAACAGCCGTTATTATTTCATTTTATTTTATGCAGAAAAAAAGTGTCAAAACACTCCCACAGGTCTGTGGAGCAGCAGAGCAGTTAAAACACTGCAGGCCCTCATACTCTGCTACACTGAAGAACGGACCTTTATGACTAAAATGGACTGAATTATCGATATATTTAATAATAAAGATTATGGATGACGGTCGTATATGCAGGATTGGTCCAATTAAATGAATAGAATATACAGTTTGCTGTATTATGTCTCTGTAGGCCGGGGAAGCTGCTGCGTGACGGGACACAGATAGCAGAGATTCTTTTCTAACGTGGACATGTGGTTAATTTGGATAATTAATGTAATCTTAATTTTCAGGTGGTTCCACCCCAACATCACCGGAATCGAGGCAGAGCAGCTCCTGTTGACCCGGGGCAACCACGGCAGTTTCTTGGCCCGGCCCAGCAAGAGCAATCCGGGGGATTTCACCCTCTCGGTCAGGTGGGTCCTCATCTCATCTCATCTCCGCTCCCTCCCTTCCTCGTTTTTTTATTTTTGTATTTTTCACCATTAACCCCTCAATATTCAACCTCACTCTTCTCGCCACTCGAGTACAAACAAAGCTCTGATGCTGTCGGTTTTGAGAGGCTGGAGAGGTGATTAGAGAAGCAACAGGTTCTCTCTGGGAATGAGTCAGTACTTCCTCTGGGGAGCTCCCCTGAGAACTTCATACCTTTTCTATGGGTTTTTTTTTTTTTTTTTTTTTTCTGTTTGCCAGCGGGAACACTAAAGTGACGTAAGCTGGCCGGCGGATGGTGTAGCAACGCCAACCGTTTCTGTGACGACAATGACAAGGTGGAGGGCGCTGCGGTGTTTCGGTGATGAAAAGGGAGTTGGAGAGGAAACGCGTTAAATTGTTGTTAAACTGTTGTTTGCATGACCAACATTTTTACACGGGTTTTTTTAAATATGGCAGTTGCCCGTTGGCTCGTGTTCGACGAGTCACCGCACACGTATGTCACTCAAAGCCGGGAGAGAAAGTTCCTCAAAACGACGTCCTAAGAACTACGATCATTCCTGTTTCTTGCAGTTTGGACACAAAAAAACTTCCTCCTGTCTGAAAAAACATATTGTGACATTTACATTTTAGGCACTTAGTTTGTGATCCACTCCACAGTGATTTAAAGTGACTCCAACTATACAAGTGTAAATGCCTGGATGACCAAACACAAACGAAATTCAAGAGTGCAAAGGTCAGACGCTCAGTAGCTTTTAAAATAATTCTCTCACCACAGAATGAGTCAGTTTTAAATCTGAGAACGAGGAGAGACTGTGCTGGTTTGACCAAGGAGGGAAGTTCACCTCTCAGGAGCAGGCAAGACTTTCAGAGTCTCCGAAATCGCTGCCCCGTGGGTGTGTGTGTGTGTGTGTGTGTGTGTGTGTGTGTGTGTGTGTGTGTGTGTGTGTGTGTGTGTGTGTGACGTAACATTTTGTCTGCGGGTGAATAGATGGCATTTAAACAGAAGTTGTTTTGTGTGAGTGTTTCTAGGAACACGTTAGATAACACATTAGGAATGTGCGATTTGGAAACGTTCTGATTAATTTTGGTCAGCAGGGCGGAGCTGAAGTGAGCCGGGCTGACTGTAATACCTGTCATTCATGCCTTTTTAAAAAAACAAAACAAAATTTCTCTTAATCTCTTTAATTGAGAGCCCCAAGTGTGTGTCGCAGAGACTGTACAGTCTTCTGGTAAGTAGGACTCGGGCACAACATGCTGCGGTGATTACAGAGAGCAGGAAACAAACGGGCAGAAGAGGGAGTTTGAAGAGCGGCTCTTCCCTGGCAACGGAAGCTTTTAAGAGATGCATCAGTCACACAAGTGCCTGGAAGAAAGTCCAAACACATTTGTTACCCTGTGACTAGCTGGCATGGCGACGTGGGTAGGGAGAGGCTTCTTTGTTTCTGTGCGTGCGTGCGTGCGTGCGTGCGTGTGTGTGTGTGTGTGTGTGTGTGTGTGTGTGTGTGTTTCTGTCATAGGCTACCTTTAGGGACAAATCTCAGGCTAAAGACCAGTTAATTGGTGACGGCTCGTCCAACTGGGGTAGAAAGAAAGTTGTGTCCTCAGTTTGGAAAAAGCTGATATTCGGGTCAGTGGTTTATGGTTATGGTTATTATGGTGAAGGTTGGGGTAAGGCAGGTAGGTGATATGGGTTAAGATAAGTCTCCAGGAAATGAATGTAAGTTCCCCAAAGGCAACCTGTGACTGTGTGTGTGTGTGTGAGAGAGAGAGAGAGAGAGAGAGAGAGAGAGAGAGAGAGGAAAAGGAAACGGAGTAGTTAGACAGGCAGCAGCTTTTAAATGATGTTAAAGCGTGAGAGACCTGTTAAGGCTTTGACCTTCACTGCCTGTGGTTTGTGTGCATGTAGGGCAGAGAGTTGTAAATTGCACACACCACAGGAAGGTTGGTGGGGTGAGCTGCAGCCATGATTTGTGGTCTTGACAGACTTAAACACACACACATACACACACACACACACACACACACACACACTGCGGTCGAGTGGCCAGTGCAGAGCCTCACTTTGAACTAAGAGGAAGACGGAGAGCAGCAGAGTTTTATTAATAAACATCTTCCTATTTACAAATGAAGAGATGAATTCATAAGAAATAAAAATGCACCGTCGCTGGACTCAGTTCCCTCTGTGGTTTGGCTCATACTTGACCCGGTACGACCAGCAGCTCATGGTGGTTAATGTTTGATAAAATGTGCCACTTATTGTTGTTGAAATGATCAGCTCACTAAGTTTAGGATTCTTCACTTCATGTGCTACCATCAAACTATGTTTTAGTATTAACCAGTATTAATGTTTTTACTGTTGTGGTGATATTGTGCAAAAACTATTAAGTGCTGGAGAAAAACATAGGAAAAATTAAAACACCTGATACTTAAACAAAACAGCCGATGCACCTTCTTTAAAGAATAAACTCTGACTTGAAACTTGCAGAACGACAGACGGGCAGCAGCGCGGTATAGATGTGAATACTGTATTAAACATGCACATATGTCCTGCCACCTTTTCTCTCAGCAAATGTTATCAGCTACCAGGGGGAGAACTCACCAAACGCCTGTTTTAAACACCAAAATATGTTTTTAAAAATACAGGAAGTAAATGTGTACAGTGACCTTTTTTTTTTTTTTTTTTGCCAACTTTTTCTTTATCGTACGGAACCAAATGAAGCCTGTAACATGTGGAAAATGCTGGAATATACCGAAGATAATTACATCTATAGAAGCTTTTCTTAATTAGGATATCATTCTTCCTAACTCATTCTCCATTTCTCTTCAAACACACACACACACACACACACACACACACACACACACACACACACACACACAGTGTCTTATCAGAGCAGAGGAGAGTCTAATTAGCTAGTCATTAGCCAGGTTTCAGCTTACTAAGGCCATTACGAGCAGGACGGTCACTGTGAATGTTCAGATTGTAACAGACGCTGAGGGAATCTGTTGTCCCTCTCTCTCTCTCTCTCTCTCTCTGTCTTATCTTCCTCTCTCTGCCTCTCCACTTCTTATCTCCACCACCTCTTTTCTTTTCTGGTCCACGAGGTGAACAGAGGGAGGAGGGGTCGGACAGAGCCGCTGCTCAAAAGTGTCGTAAAGGCTGAAGTCTGAGACGCTAATGAGAGCTTTTTGAGGGTTTTGAAAATGTAATCAATTGAGAGTTTCATAAAGGGTGGGGAGAGAGAGAAAGTTGGAAGCAGAAAAACTTGAGCCATAATTTATATCCAAGTCCAACTTTGTAAGGGGAGCAGTCTGGTCAACTTTTCTCCGTCATTTTTCATGCTCTTTATACACTCAAAAGACCCCGAGGAGGAATTTTTAAGGGCAATCTTAAGAGAGAATTTTGCAGGGCAAATTACCACAGAGAGCAAATGGATTTTCTCTCCAAGCCTCTGTGTTATATAATGCTTGCCAGGGTTTACTTAGATATGTTTCCACTGCAGGCCGGGGCTATTTATAGGTTTACACAGTCAAGTAAAAGTGCATTTCAACATCATTATTGTGAATGTACTTAAACTTTTAAAAGTTTTTCTTCAAGTCTTCATTTCTAACTGTTTCTGACTGTTTCTTAGTTTGTGTGTTGAATGTAAACGTGGCATCCTGACACCTAACCTGCCTCTCGTCATGACGTCGCCCAGTTTTACTCTCTCAGCCGTTTGTGGCGTTCGGTGTTGTTAGATCTGCGTGTCAACACGGACAAAGGCACGACAACCATGACCGTGTGGCGTGCAAACGTTTGTGTCGGTGTTTCTGCTTTTTTTCCTGACACGTGCAAAAACACAGTGTTCCTATTATACATAAACGGCACGCGACACATGAACAATGGCTGCATCTTTTTGTGCTGAGAAGAGTCAGTTGAAAAACTGAAACAGACCAAATGCATCCTATAACTTATGAGCAGTGCTAACTGCTAACTGTCTACCCTTTGAAATCAAATGGTTTTCTGCATTAATTGGTCATAAAGTTTGATCTGAGCTTCATCTAAGTCTCAGGTGAAGACAAACGTAACGTGCTCAAGCTAACATCACACAAATAATTATCATCTTTCGTGTGTTTATTGAACATGGCCGTTAAACATAGACTGGTGCTGGTGGGAAAAAGCAAGTGAACCCTTTGATTTAAACTCCTTTGGCGTCAATAACCTCAACAGCATCTCTAGTGGATTAAAGTCTGAGGCTCCTACAAGATGTTTAGAGTCGTTGTCCTGCTGCATCACTTCAGCAGCTTCTACTGAGCTTCAGCCGGTGGAGCCACCCTGACATTATCCCGTAAGACACCTCGATAAACTCGGGAGTTCATTTCCCCCCTCGATGGTGTTGAGCTGTCCAGGCCTCAGAGACAGCAAAGCCCCAGATCACCATGCTCCCTCCACCCTGCTTCACCTTCGGGATGATGCTTTCATGTCGGTATGCAGTGTCCTCTTTGCACCATCCTGTCGTTGTTCTATTGTGGAGGGTCAAGCTGCTTTTTTGACAAACTTCAGGGGTGCAGTGATGTTTTTCTGCTTTTTTTTTTTTATGTTAACCAGCTCCAATGATTCTTTCAGGTCTTTAGCTGTTCTCTGGGTTTCATTTCTACCTCACTGATCATTCTGCTTTTGTGCTTTTGGAGTCATCTGAGCTGGACGCCCACTTCTAGGGAGAGTAGCCACAGACCTAAATCATCTCCATTTATAGACACTAACTGTGGGCTGATGAATATTTCATTTATAACCCTTTCCAGCTTTATGCAAATCAACAGTTCTTAATCATGAGTCTTTTTTTTTTTGTTTTTAGATGAGGCATGCTTCACATCAGCAGATGTTTCATGTGAATAGTACAGGACTCCAGGTTTGTTAACTCCTGACTCCTGAGCCGGTTCACTTACTCTTTCCAGCTTATACTGTGAATGTTTATAACCATGTATTCAGTATGGACATGAACAATACAACGATTTGTGTGTTATTAGTTAAATTAGATCACGTTTGTTCACCATTGTGACTTGGATGAAGATCTGACCACATTTGAAGACAAATATATAAATAAATGATGATAATATCGAAGGATTCACTCACTTTTTCTTGCCACTGCAGCTGCTTTTACTGTAGCATCTATATGCCATGATAGCATTAGGGTAAAGAAACTGTTTTTCAGTGAATTATTCATCATGAATTATTGTGTCACAGAGGTATTTGTAGAATTTGTATACAGGCAAAAGTGTTGACACTGTATGACCCGCTGTAGTCGCAGAGCTAATTTTGGGGGCATTTATTGTTTAACGGCACAAAAAGTGGATGTTGTTTAGTTTGTTTTTACCCCTGTGACGTGCTCAAATGTTAGCCGTTGTCTTTGGGTTCAGCATGTCTGGTGCTGCTTATGAACAAACAAGATGACAGTAAGATCTCTTGGTTGTCTGAATTTGTAAACGCCTCTGGTTTCAAATTTCGCAGCCTTTAGAAGTATGAATGGTTTATCCACAGCCAATCAGGGCGAGCTTTTACAACGCAGAGAAGTTTATGAACATGCCTCCTCTAGAATTGAGGTTAATAAACCTGTTCAGCAGATGCACAAGTGGAACTGAAACACACGCTAAAACTTTAGTGGACTGGCAGCAGTAAGAGCCATTTCTCAGTGGTGTCAGGTTGTATTGAGTGAAAAGTCTTGCTTGGAAAGGCTTCAGGGCAAAGCAAGCAATCATTTGTATATTTTAGACTTTGTGCATGGATAAATATGTGCATTTTTGAGCAACATATTTCCCAGTTGTCTGTCTTATCACTGCATCAGTTAGCTTAGTCACACTGATCTAAATAATGTTTATTACCGAGCGCTCTGGTTCGAATGCTGAGAAATGTGAACGCTCGATCTCGCTCGTAGATGGGATCTGTTTGCTGCTCCGGCCGTTGAGCTGCAGCAGGATGACGATGCTGCGATCTGATAGGAGCGGCGCTGTAAAGGACTGTGTGACGTTATGTAAGTTATGTCAGTCGGTCCTATCAATGCAAACCAGTTCATAGGATAATCAAGGACAAAATTATCTTGCTTGGATCTGCTGCATTTGTTTTTCCAGTAAAAGCAGGATACCATCGCACCATGACATTACATACACTGTGAAGACTATACTATATGTATATTCTGTCATGCTGAACATTTTACAGTTTTATTTGTGGTTAAAGAACGTGAAGTTTGTTTTTTTTGCCTTTTGGATAAAAATTGAAATATCCTGGTTTTATGTGATTAACGTGTGGAACAAAGCGGTAAAGCTGAGATTAATCTAGCTTGTTGTTGTCAGTAAATCCAACTAATCATGAGCAGAGTTGCAGAACGATGAAGCGCTTCATTCCAGACGTGCTATTTTCAGGCAGATAAACGTGCTTTTGCAGGTGAAACGATCGTACAGGATGTTGGTGAGAACATACACACGTGATTTGATTTGAAAATACAGAACTGTGTTCAGCAAAGAGGAACAACCCTGTACTTCTCACAGATGTGCATCACTACACGTTTATGCTACATCCTCAACTGAGCTGTTTGTCCCTGTGCCAGGGCAAAGTCACATCATAAAGATGTTTAAAACTTCTGACCGGCTCGTTAAAATCTCTTTTCAAAAAGCTGCATTATTAAAAGTTTCTGCGTGGTGTCCTGTGGTCGCATCTCGCTCGAACTGTTAGCTTCACTGTCTTTTGTGAGAGGGTGAAAAGGAAAGTATAGTGGACATTAATGATGTAATATCAATATAATCATAGGGAAAATGTAATAAAAAAAGAAAATAATTAAAAGAAAAAAATTGGATATGATATCCTGTCAATGTAATAGAAAATAAAAAAATAAAAAAATAAATCTTACGACAAAAAAAAATATGCTAATATATTATAAATTGTAATAAAATATTATATAAAATAGTGCAGAATAACATGATAATAGTGTGGTGGTGGTGGTGTTGTGACAGAAGAGTATGTATTTTATTATATAGTATAATAATTCTAAACATGTCATATTATAATAATATAATATTCATTATTATATTGCGCAACAATCTGTATCTGTATCTAACGTTGAGCATGAGTGAGTCTGTAAACTTCCTCGGTGGATTACGTTACTGCCCGTCTGTGAGGGTTGAATTTGATGTCAGCAATGGGATTAAATGGCATCTTCTCTATCTCATTTTATTGAGCTGGAAAATAATCCATACTACTGCAACTGTATGTAAACATGCGCCATGGGCCTGGATGGTTTTCCTGTTTGGAACCTGCGATGAGACGAAAAAAACAAACACATTCTATGTTTAGCCATAAAGCTAGGCTATTTATGGATAGTTTTATGAATGATAATTCATCACATAATGTATGAGCTGAACTTGATTTGTCTTCAGTAAGAGTTATACACACATCTAGTCTGTTGTTGGACCGTCTGCTGGTTTTATTAGATTGTGTCTAAATAAGGTACAAAGTAGGATGCTTTATAGTAAGTAGGATAACTTCACAATTAGATGTGACATAATAAAACGCGCTGTGTGTCAAAGGAGGAATTGGCACAGAACGTCATGTTAATGTTAATGATGTTAATCCGTCATGTGTGAGAGATAGACAGTGGGGATCCAGAGCAGAGCAGACGTGATGCTGAACTTGCCTCCCTGCGTTCTTACTGTAAAGAGGACGGTCTTACTGTAATGAATCCTTAAAGGTGGGAGGGGTGAAAATCTAATGGTTAATGGTGTTAAACTCTGAGAGAAAAGGGGATTTGGCCCTTTAACAGGGCCATAGACCTGTGGCACCCTGCCAACAGCCACTAATAGAGCCATAAAGCAATTACCAGGAAACAGAGAGAGAGAGAGAGAGAGAGAGAGAGAGAGAGAGAGAGAGAGATGGATTATGGGACTTTTGAATACAAGAATGGAGCAATAGATTTACAGTATGTTGAGTGGGAAGTTGGGAAGCTAGAAAAAAAAGGGAATGTGAAAAGTTTTGAGAACAACAACAAAAGTGATGGAGGGAAATAGGATTTGTGCCATTTGATACGACCATTAGCTGATTATTAGTTCGAGAGAGAGAGAGAGAGAGAGAGAGAGGAGACTATTGTATCTCGGCCTGGAGATCAGATAGTGCCGACCGTCTGGCTAACTCCCCTGTGCTCCCTAAAACAGTTGTGTGTTTGTGTGTTGTTATATTTAATATGTTTACAGGATGTTTTGTTTATCTCTGATAAAGAAACATGTTTAACGAAGTCACTGGATTTGGAAAATGGAAATGTAGATTTATGTTAAAGAAGTACATTTAGCAGTGGAGCCGCATCTTGTTCTTCAACTGCTTCCAGGCAGATATCTTATAGAGTAAAACTTTATACATATATGTGTGTGTGTGTGTGTGTGTGTGTGTTAACATTTGTGTGCACCTGTTCAAACCAGCCAGAGGACTTTGAATATGCAAAGTGGTAGCAAATGTTTTCTGGCTTATCAGCTCGGCTGCTGCGTGCATTTTTTTTTTCTGCTGTTCTGCAATCACAATACAACCTTCCTCCAAATAAAATAGATATGAAAACTAGAGTATTAAAAAAAGGATGATCCCTTGTGAGAAGATTTGTGTTGTTTTGTTTATAGAAGTCAAAGTGAAAAATATTCTGCGTGCGATAAAATGGATCAGTATTTTTTTTTTTTTTAAATCACTGTGTCTTTGCAGCTTTTTCCTGCATTTTCTTTCTTTGCATTAGCTTGTGGCTTATTTTATCATTCCAATTTTGGCACAGATTGAAAAGGTCAAAGTTATTTTATTATATTTTACAGTTTATATTTGTACTTTGAGCCTTACAAGAAAAGCTTGCAGAGATACGGAAGATTTACAGGCGGAATAAGGTAGATTAGTGCAAGAAAATAACAGGCGACGAATGAAGGACGTCACCACATTGGCAGATTGTTCGACATGTTTTAAGAAAATAAGGTTCAGTGTCTTAAAATGGGAGCAGATGGCTTGATGAGCTGGACATTTTTACAGCGTACTTTATATGCATTTATGCTCTGTGAGGGAGTGTGGGCGACAAATGTGTGTATGGACTTGATTTTGTTTGTGTGTATGTATGCTGTGTGAACTGTGTGGGTGGCTGTTTGTGTGCACGTGTGTGTGTGTGTGTGTGCATGTGTGTGTTTGTGTGTGTGTGTGTGTGTGTGTGTGTGTGTTGGCTGTTGAAATATCTGCAGGGAACACGCACACGAGAAAAATACAAACAAAAAAAACAAAATGCTGAGTGCTTCCTTGGAGTGAGTCCACCTCTGTTTACATGCATGACGACACACTGAGTGACACACTGTGGTTTTTCCCTCGCAGGCGCGACGATGAGGTGACCCACATTAAGATCCAGAACTCGGGCGACTACTACGACCTGTACGGAGGCGAGAAGTTTGCCACGCTGGCCGAGCTGGTGCAGTACTACACAGAACAACAGGATCTGCTGCGCGAGAGGAACGGCCATGTCATCGAGCTCAAGTACCCACTCAACTGCAAGGACCCCACCTCCGAGAGGTGCTGACAAACTCACGCACACGCCGACGCCCACACGTGCAAATACGCTCTCATTTGCGTACAGCGACGAATCCAGGTCCACGTAGACACAGATACGACATATAAGTTCAGCTCAGTGCGTTTGCTGTTTTGATGAACTGATTAAAACGGCACATAAGTTTCTCAATGACCACAGACAGTTATTTTTATTCTTTCAGCTTCAGGGGTGTCAAGCCTGCAAAGCTTCATCCTGCCACGAGAAGCGACTAAACCACCAGAGAAATGTTAATAGTCTAGCTCTCAGTGCAGTTACTGTATCCTGTTATGGTCTAAATGCTGTTTGTGAAGCAGTTTTCCCCCCCTGCAGAGAACAGCGCTGAACACTGGTCATTTTAATTTTTAATTTGATTTAAGGCACGACTCTTTTTACATTAAATATTACGCTTTAAATTTTAATTCCTCGCCCGTTGAACCTACAGAGACCAGATCAGTGTAGTAGAGTTACAATAAAAGACTGTAGGGGAAAACCACTAATGCCAGATAAATGTGTAGTTGCAGTTTTGTTCCACAGTATTTCACTTTATTCAGTGAAATCAAACCCATATAAATCCCATAAACCTGCTTTATTCATGTTATAGTTCTAATCCACAACAGTTAGTAGGTAGTCTATACTGACGGCCTTCCCTTTACTCTACTGACTCTCTTTACGTTCATCTGAAGGCAGCAGAGGAGGCATCAGTATCTGGAGAGCTCAACGCACTGCAACTTAAGCAAGTTCAGAGAACGTCTTCATCAATATGGACGACACATGTGCTTCAAATACTCTCTCTCTCTCTCTCTCTCTCTCTCTCTCTCTCTCTCTCTCTCTCTCTACATGCAGCACACTTGTTGTCATGGAAGTGTACTTTGTTTGTGTTTTGCCTATTCGCGTGTGTTTTCTTAAGTCGCAGTGTGTTGAGCTCTCAGGGCTTCCGTACATCTGTCCCTTCTGCAGTCTCAGACGTGGGTGATGCTGCACACTGGCGTGCCACAATTACACACGGTTCCGCTGGTTAGATTTTTGTGCAACAAGCGCCAGACTGTTGCAAAAATAACCACAGAAACCTCTGTGCTCATGTGCACATCAAACCTGTCGTTTTGATTAATCATTCTACAGTTTCTGCTGCCAATCAACAGGCATGTGGGATATTTGACACAAAGAATAACTAATAACTCCCTCAGGTGGTCCATTCTTTTTGTCTCCCCATGTGGCTCCATCCAAAACATCCGGTAACGTGGGATTTTTAATGAGTCTGGCCAAAGGAACACCTGGAGCTCCCCACGTTTCAGTAGAGTGCAGGTAGACACATCCCTGCGATGAGCAGCAGGACGTGATAGAGGCTGTTTAGGGGTTACATTTTAGCGTGGTGTTTCCAAAAACAAGAGTGTCACATCAATACATATCACTACACAGCGGCTCGCATATAAAATTATCAAAATGATGATTAATGCACAAACAACTGTTATGGATTACAGTAGAAAAATGTGCAACACACACAAGAAGAAAAATGTCTTTTTCTTCAGCTACTAATTGCTCCACTAGGTTCACATGCTGTGTGCTTACATTGTCCTCCTGTCATGTGGTGATGGATCGGTAGCAAACAGTGGATTCATCAGAGTAAAGTTGCGAGGCTGAAAACTACAACAAAGAGCTGAGAGATGCTGAAACGTTCTGCAGAGAAGAGGGGAACTGCAGAGTCGAGTGATAGTTCTGACATTACAGTCGTTTGATCCGTTGCTAATATAAAAGTCGGGATTAGTGCAGCTTTAAACATACCATGTATTTTCAAAATCAATTATTAAAACAGCACAATTTTGTAAAACATTACATCAGTGTGGCGGTATCTGTCACAATGCAGTTCCACTAAGAGCCTATTGACAATGATAACTAATTATTGTCCAGGCCTGACTGTTGAATAGACTGGCACCAAGAAAGACTCATTAATCATGTACCACCACACATATGAGAGGATGTAGTATTCTCTGCACGCACACACCCATATATAAAACTCAGATGCACTTTCACATCCTCATCCACATGCATAAATAGTGGCATATTCCCCAAATGCATCTTCAAACAAACTAAGTGGGCGGCGCTGCTGTTTTTGTTTATGCCCGCTGAGTAGCGGCACGCTAACAACCTTCTACACACAGGTTGGACGCTTCGTCACACCTACACACCTCCTTTTGAAATGTGAGACCAAGACAGCTGGTGTATTAGCCAGGAATCCATCCGTGCACGCACTCGCTCACTCACGTACAGGAAGCAATTGGGAACGCTACATTTATATCATCATTTACACGCACACACACACACACACACACACACACACACACACACACACACACACACACACACAAAAATATAACTTCTGTTTGGTGTCATCTCATGCTGAGCTGGATATGTACATTGACTTTTTCTACACATCTGCACGTTGCAGTGTGTACATCTCAGTTTCTATTTAGGTCTAAGAACAACTTGTGATCTATGGCTGTGGTTTATGTGGTTTTTCCATTCTACATACATGTGCTGTCAGAGCCTCCTACACGTTCTTGCTCACCACACAGGAAAAAAAACAAAAAACACAGAAATGCAGGTTTCATCAGCTGCATGTCAGCAACTGTGTGAGGCTGCAGCAGCGTAAGAGACACTTTGATTCTCCAGTGTGTGTTTTCTGTCACAATGCACATATAGACTGACTGTTATCTTGATCCTTAAAGCTACAATATAAAAGTTTTTCCCCTCGAGGCAGGAAGCATAATGCTTGTCCTCCCCCTCATTTGGTCAAGTTTCTGCCTCAGCTCTTCTGACTTGTCTCGATGATTCGTCTAACTTGAAACCACATCTAGCCCGAGGCTGAGCGTCTCTTGATCTCCGCAGGAGACGGAGAGGCAGCTGGTGAACGCAGCCAATCTGGAGTAATGAACGCTGATGTTCACGGTGTGTTTTTGAACAGGTGTTGTCAGCTGCGTGCTGTTGTTGTTGTTGTTGTTGTGACTTAACAGGAAGCTTCACCTTAATAGACACAGCCAGCTAACATGACGTGAGGCTCCACAGTGAAATGGTTCAGATCAGTTCCTCAACATCGCACATGGGACACATGAGCTTACAAACACACTTAAGAAAGCATTTATTGTTGTTTGATATGGGAAAAAAATAATAATAATGATCTAGTAATACTAACAAATAAACCTAGTCTGCAAATGTACAGCAGGATTTTCATCTTGAGGATCTTCCACAAGAGAACCATCCATCGAGTCAGTTTGTCCGTGAATATCATATTGTTTTCTGTCGTATTGTGTTGGTGTATGACAGTCTGTTCTCTCTCTCTCACCTGCAGGTGGTACCATGGACACCTCTCTGGGCGGGACGCAGAGAAACTGCTCACTGACAAAGGCAAGGCCGGCAGTTTCCTGGTACGGGAGAGCCAGAGTAAACCGGGCGACTTCGTCCTCTCGGTTCTCACCAATGAGGAGAAGCACGAAAACGTGGATCGTAAGACCAAGGTCACGCATGTTATGATACGTTACCAGGTGAGGTAACTCAGTTCAGGCTCCTTTCACACATACAGAAACTCAGATTTATAAGTGTGTAAGTTTGGCTTAGCTGGATTAAGGCAGCCGGGGGGCTTATAATGCCTAGACTCACCCCGGCAAACTGCTGCTGCTTTGAATCATGTATTTTTAAGCTGAATTTGTTTTATTTTTGCATCTTTAAGAGCTCCTCAGACCTGCAGTTGAACTGTTGATGGTTTGTCTTCAGCAGGATAGTAAATACGACGTGGGCGGAGGTGAGAGGTTTGAGACTCTGGCTGAGCTGGTGGATCACTACAAGAAGAACCCCATGGTGGAGAAAAGTGGCATCGTAGTGCATCTCAAACAGGTAGGGAAGAGGGATTTAACGTGAAGGCGTGGATGGACGCGTCTAAATATAGAATAACTTGTTTTTGTTCTGTTGACAAATTCAATTTCCTTGTCCCAACATGACGACGACGACAGCCATTTAATGCCACAAGGATAAATGCAGCCAACATTGAGAACCGGGTACGAGAGCTCAACAAAGTAGCAGACAACTCTGAGAAGCCCAAACAAGGATTCTGGGAAGAATTTGAGGTGTGTACACCAGAATTATTCCTGTCAATCAGGATTTAAAAAAAAACATATAAACACATTTATATTTGTGCGAATATTGATGGTTATATATGGACCAGTCACTCGAAGCTGAGAAAAGCTACGTCAGGTTAAAATTTAAACGCTCCGTCAAAATTGAATAATTCCCAATATTTAATAGGTTAGACGTCAGAGTCCGGATCTGGGCCACCGTCCGCCTTTTTGTCTCAAAGATTATTTGCAAATCAATTCAGGAAAACAGTGCAGAGATATTAACTAGTCTGTCTGGATTTGTATTAATGCCATGCAGCTGGTTTTCACTTATCGCAGCTAAAACATTGTAGGTTAAATCTCTAAATGCTTGACTTATTCTACCCCTGCATGAGCTGATATGCATCCAAAATGAGTATGAATGAAGAGCTTTAGAGCCCTCTTTCTATTTCAAGGGGACTTCATGCTGAAATGTTTTCTCTTAAGTGTACAACCTTAATAGAGATTTTATGTTCTTGCACTCGACGGTAACCCCTGCTGTGTATAAATGACCCCAGAATTGGCAGTAGTTGTTATTCTTTTGTTTGGAACCTGGAAGGCCTTTTAATTTTCTTTTCTTCCATTCTGCTTTTTCTTTTGTCATCGACTATCAGGTACTTCAGCAGCAGGAGTGCAAACTGCTGTATCCCCGGAAAGAAGGCCAGAAGCCAGAAAACAAGAGTAAAAACAGATACAAGAATATCCTCCCCTGTGAGTCAAGCAGCAACCTGCCGTTTCCTGTCTCCCCAACTTCCTGTGGAAACAGTGACACAAATAGACAATAGACAATGTGGAGGCCTCAGCAAAGTGTCAAGATCTAGTTACGATAACTTGCAGTCTATCAATTGACATTAGATTTGAAAAAAAAAAACAAACAAAAAAAACAATGTCATTCCAGAAAACTGTCGACATTTTGTTGTGCATTAACAACAGTTTTGGCTTTTGTGTTTTCAGTCGACACAACTCGTGTTGAAATCAGGGAAGCAGATCCAGATGTTGCCGGTTCAGACTACATCAATGCCAACTACATCAGAGTGAGTCTTTTCAGCAGCTTTACACAAGACCTTGTTGTCAGCACCTGTGCTTGATCAATGACAGTAACACACAACATTCAGCAAACACTCAAGATATATGTGACGTTCAGGGGCAAATTCACCTTTAACATTAAACTGTTCCAAAGTGATAAATACATCAGTTAAAAAAACAAAACATACAGTGTAGTTACCTCAGAGTTATCAGTCAACATAAGATGAAAACAAACTTCCTGTTTTATAAGCAGCACTTAACTTTTTTATTAATCAATTAAATGTATCATGAGAACATGAATTTCTGGTCTCGGACTTGGATACTCTTCGCTCAGTGTGTTTCTCTTTGTGCTTTACAGTGTATGCATGAAGAGGGGCGCTACATGGAGGAGGGCAAAGTCTTCATCGCCACCCAGGGGTGCCTACAGAATACGGTCAACGACTTCTGGAAGATGGTGTATCAGGAGAACACGCACGTCATCGTCATGACCACAAAGGAAATAGAGCGAGGGCGGGTGAGCCTTTATAGAGCAAATATTCAGTGGTATAGTTCAGTGTTGTGGAGTAATTGTACTTGCTCATGTACGCCTTAATGTTAAATGTTAAAGGGCAATTTAGTAGAAGTGTTTTTGTGTATTGTGTCTCTAAATCAAGTAGTTTTTTGTTTTTTCTCATGTCTCTTCTCCAGCATTTACTCCTGAATGGTTTCTCTGTTGTTTCACTGCTGCGCTCCTTTGGGCTGTTTGCTGTTGATTGCTTGTGATAATGCAGATTCATGGAGTGAGGGGCGTTTGTTCTGCGATTGGACACGTTTAAGATTTCATAATGAGAGCGAGAGCGAAATACCTAAAATTACATGTGGAAAAATCCACTCCTCTCTAAAGTAGAAGGTGCGTTCACCAGCAGATGGGTCACAAACTGCTCTAACGAGCGACAAAGGACAACAGGACAAACGAGGACAACGGAGGACAACGGTGAAACAAGCTTGTTTCTGTCAGTCGACTTTTACGTCGCCATCGAACATTATTTGTTCTGTGTTTTCAGATGAAACACAGCACTTGATGGCATTAGCTGAGTTCAACAGCACACGGTGGATATGCGTAGTAAGTGTGTGTGTGTGTGTGCGTGTGTGCGTGTGTGTGTGTGTGTGTCTGGTGTGGGGGAGGGGAGGGAGACGGCTGACAAGGATAGTATGACAGTTAAGCTGATTGGAAAGCTGCTTGAGATGAGCTGGTTCTTTAGATTGTAATACCCGTCACCCTCCCTCTGCTTTCTCTCTCTCTGTCTCTCTCTCTCTCTCTGTTTGTAGAACAAATGTGTACGTTACTGGCCGGACCTGAACGCCACCAAGGAGTTTGGGAGGGTGCAAGTGAGGAATGTGGACGAGCAGCCAGCGCAAGACTACATCCTCAGGAAGCTGGAGGTGACCCGTCTGGACCGGGTAGGAAGAGCCGTGTACTCAGTCAGAGCTGACCCACTGACCTGGGGTCAGATTACCCAACACTTCACACACATACACACACACACATACACAATCCTCTAGCACGTGCTCGTGCTTGTGATTACACTTACGGGAGGATTGACTGCATGGATGTGAAGAATGAACCCAAAGGAGCAGATGCAGCAAGATTCTAGTTTTCTTACAATGAAGCTTTTAAATAAAAACCCTTTGATGCAGCGTTGTTCTTTTGTAGCTGAAAACAATTCTGACTCCAGTCAGTCTGAATTTGATTGAATAGGGAGGAATATAAAATGGCGTGTATCCTTTGGATGTCCAGTCTTGTTGTAGCTGGTGTGCGGATGTGATGTATCTTCTACACAATTCAAAATCTCATATTCTAAATATTCTACGAGTACAATGGTGGAGCTCACAGTCTGCTAATTCTGTCTGAGAACAACCTGGTAATATTTTAATATTTTCACCAAAGACTGCCCCCCCCCCCCCCCCCCCCCCCCCACCCCCCCCCATCCAGTTCACTGTCAATCTCCTGTAAAAGCAGGAGCCTTTTACATGTTGTACTGCACACAGGAAAGATTCCTGGCGCGCTGTAATCCTCCGTACTGGTCCTAAGCGCTAATTCCTTTGAGTAAGAACAAGATCCGCAATCCTCATTTCGCACAAAAGCGTATTTCAGCATTCAGGGAGGCTCATCGGTAACTGCAGTGTTACCGCTCTGCCAACAAAGCCCTACACATGGCAGCTGACCAGAGAGTATGCCTTCATCACAGTACAGCATTTCAAGTATCAAGTAATTTTGTCCTGACTGTGTTGTTGTTGTTGTTGTTGTTGTTGTCTTTTTGGAAAATACCTTCACGAATTGGCTAAATCAAAGTATTATATATTTATATACAGTATATTAGCTTTTTATTGGTTCATGTTTTGTGTGGAATGAAGATTGTGGGATTTTACCTTTTGTTTCTTACAGTGGGATTATATGTTTTGATGAAAACTCAGCAGTGAAGCTTCAAAACCACCACATAATAAACAATATGAATACTCCCATTAAAAAAAATAAAAATAAAAATCTTCTTCATCGTCTTCTCCTGCTGTGTCCTGGTTGCAGAAGGAGCCCGTGAGGTACATCTGGCACTATCAGTACCTGAGCTGGCCCGACCACGGGGTGCCCAACGAGCCTGGTGGTGTGCTCTGGTTCCTAGAGGATGTCAACCGCACGCAGAGCTCCATTCCAGACACTGGACCCATTGTCGTACATTGCAGGTACAACCCGGGGGGGGGGAGGGGTTTTATATTAGGATGCTCAGAGTTAAAGACTGCGGTTGAGCCATAAGTTAATTACTGGTGTGTCAGGTAGAGAGAATAAACAAGCCGATGTGCCAACACTGTTCTGAAGCTGATATCGACAACAGCAGTTATTAAAACGCGTGCACGCACAGTGGCTGCTGCTCTCCTTATTGAACGAACCTGAGGTCTGTGTTACTGCGATACTGAAGACGTCCAAAAGTCTTTTGCAGCTGTCTATGGGAACACTGTAAACTTGGTTACAACAAAGGAAGAAAATAAGACCTTTGTATAGTTACACGGTGCTTTCATTTAACCCTGCAATTTGTTTTAAAGGATGCCTTAGGCGTGGCTCTATAGGGGGTGCAAGAGTATTTAGAATATTTACAGCAGCAAATTTATGTCAGACATAAATATAAATGAAAGGAGGAAAAAAGACCAACAAGTTGGGCCAAAATCAGGAAACTTAATAAAACAAAACTCAACTACAAGTGCATAACTAAATTCTACAATAAGTAAGGGAAGTGCAGTACAGCGGTTTTTCATTTTATTTATTTTCTTCTTCACGTTTATTCGATTTCACATGAGACACCTGATGACCTTGTTTTCTAAGGATGAATTTATGAGCTTTGGGTTTCTTGAAATATGGTTTCACTTGGCCACTTGAGTGCGCTATAATTAAGGTTCAAAGTTTTACCTTCATATTAGCAATAGGCCTTCACCAACTTTTTTCTCTTATCACATTAATGCCCCAAACACTTGAGCTGTAATTACTCTCAGTAACTGTTAGATAAAGTCCTTCTTTAGCCAAGTAACTATCATGCCATGGGTTTTATTTACATTGGTCTGTTTTACTTCTGCATTATGTCAGCTTGACCAATAACAGCTGTTTTATTTTTGCTCCTCGTCTTGACATAAGAGCCTGAAATTAAAATTTGTAGTTTAGTAAAAAAAAAAAAGAAACACTGAGTCATAGCTGAGCTGAGTTGTAAGTCTTAGATTTATTTCCGTGTTACACACATGAACGATTTCCTGCTGTGTAAATATTTTTTTTTATTTGATGTGTTGTTATCATCAAGAGTGCGCTGAGTCATTTTACATTAACAGTAGACACGTCACTCTCAAACATGTTTGGTAGCAAATGTAAATAGATTTGTCCATCTGGTGTGAATAGAAGAATCCGGTTTTCGCCGCGTGTCTCTCACCGTGCCCAGACACCCGAAGACGTCAAACAAACATGATGACAACGTGAGACTCATTACCGTCAACTGTCAATCAACGGGCCGCTGATAAATTTATGTCGTCAGTGTGGAGGGAATATCATTGTGAGTGATGTAACAGCATTTTATATGTGACACAACAACAAATTCAAGGGACTTTATTGCTGTCGCCAAACTGTAATTCACAACCGTAGATTTTTATGTGTTACTTCCTTTGTCATGTCGGATTTGAGAAAAGTTTTTTTGCCTTGACTTTGATGCTTAAAGTGTTTTAATTACACACAGTTTGACTTTCCTCTCTGCTGTCCCCGCAGCGCAGGCATCGGCAGGACAGGCACCATTATCGTCATCGACATCCTCATCGATATAATTAACCGCCAAGGTACGAAGCTGAGATATAAAAGTGACACACTCTATTTCACTAAAATCTTCGTGCTGTGTCTGTGCTAATCTTCTGGATGTGTGTGGACGTGTGTGTGTGTGTGTGTGTGTGTGTGCGTGTACGTGCTCCAGGTCTCGATTGTGACATCGACATCCCCAAGACCATCCAGAGGGTACGGCAGCAGAGGTCGGGCATGGTGCAGACAGAGGCCCAGTATAAGTTCATCTACATGGCTGTGCAGCAGTACATAGACACGGCTCAGAAGAGACTGGAGGAGGAGCAGGTAGTCCGCTACGCTATAAATCAATTTCAGGGGCGACTTCAAATGCAGGAATTAAAATGCATCACATAACACTTTTTGACACGGTAATGAAGGCTTTAAAATATTTATGTGCGACATGTGTTTGACCTCAGAGTCTGAAGGCCAGTGCCGTGTGTTATGTTATGACAGCTAGCGCAGTGAGGCAAACAGCAGTTTGGCAACTATCTCAGTAAGTTTAAGTGAACGTGGATACCATCTGGGACTGTTTAAAATTTAATTCAGGTCTCAGACACAGGACAAGTTTGTGAAAGCTTTGTCAAGGATCTTGTCGTCTAAACGGAGTCTGACTGATTCATGTTGACACTTTGCAGAGGAATAAGATGAAGGAGAGGGAATATTCCAATATCAAATATCCCCCGATGACCAACTCGAGGTCCAAACCCAACATGGCGTCCTCGCGCTCCTCTTCTGTGTAAGTAGAACACATAACATGGTGAAGGTGTAGTGACCATTAATGTGATGATTAAACACATGGTCACAAAACTGGTTTTAGAAGGAATTATATTATATTTTCTCTGGCCTGGGAGTAATGTTTGTTATAAGAATGTATATGTAATATAGTTAATGTGTAATTTAATGCAGGATTGATGCAACAGTGGATTGTGCGAGTTTCAGTCAGCACCATCACTGTCAGTGCTGAGAGCTGCAGTAGCTGCGAAGCTTGTGGCTCATTATGGGAAATGTTGCTTTTAGCAAAAACTTAATTTAGACGGTTAGATTGTTTGTTAGTAAATGATCCATCCATTCATTTTCTGCTGCTTAGTTAGATCCAGGTTGCATTAATTATATTAATCACATCATTAGGAATTATTTCTCAATACTGCTGCAAAGTACTGGAATAAAAAAAATCGATATAATATAATTAATATTATAATTTCACACTTTAGCCAGTATGATCATGCAACTGGTTTTAAGTTTCATTTTATCAGATATTCAGAAGAGCTTAAAAAGTCTTAAATTTAACTCCATGAACCTGCAGAAACCTTCATGTTGTTCTTTTGTTTTGTAACTGAATATCTTCTCTGTGTTACTGCAGGATGACAAACGACGATTCGTCGGGTGTGTACGAAAACATAAACTTTAAAAGCCCTCAGACGTCTTTTAGCAGCAACACCAGGAGGTAAAACATGTTGGGGACCTCCGCATCTCTCTGTCGGCCTCTTTGTGAGTACTTCGTCTGTTTCGTTTTACACTGTTTTTGTATTTTCCTCTCTGCAAAAGTGGAAAAAATGGTTTGAGCATCATCCCACTTGCTTTAGATTTTTTCGTTAAAGGTCTGCATTGTAGTGGATTTGGTAGAGGGGGACAAAACGAGTGTTGTTGGCACTTCATGTTGGATCCCATTAGATGTAAGTGTGGCTTTTTTGGAAAAATATGAGCTATAATTTAGCTCTAAATTTAATGCTCGTGTGGATGTATCAGGGAAACTGAATTGGCCCCTAAAATCAGAAGTTGTGGTGCTGTTAAAACTCTGCCACTGATAGAAGACTCTCTCCCTGTGAGTCAAATTCATTTTCCTCATGTAAGTAGAAGAGTAATGTTCTCCTATTTTCAAGGTTCAAATTATAGGCTGGCGAGGAGCAGCGGAGCTTCCTTAAAAGAAAATCTGAGCTCCACTCAAAGCAACAAAAGATTCAATTTGGGTTCAAATTATAATCAACCTCGATTCTCAGAGTCTCATTCTGTTCCCTCGCATAGTGATTAATAGAGCAGACAGGGTCATCAGCAGAAGACAGCGCAGAACTGTGAATTAATTACCAGTGAACGTATTTAGAAATTAATGTTAAATTAATTTGAGATATTTTGTCTTTATGGATTGTTTGTGGTTGAAAATGAATCTAACCTGATGTTTTTGTAAGCAGGTCTCAAAACAGCATTTATAAATACAGATTTCTTTTTCATGGCTAAAACTTTTTAAATAAAAACTTATTTGTTTATGTATTTATTTGAATCTCAGGTGGGACTACAAGTTGTCAGTTGGATGTTGTTAGCTTAGCTTAGCTTAGCTTTGACGGGATGTCTACTGTTTGGAAGCGAGGGTCTTTCAGCCATTTGAGGAGCTATCTCAGTTTGCTGTCGTTGCTAAAAGCTGTAAATATTCCTGTATTTTCTCAGAAATATTAGAAAAATATTGCTTTCAGTACAATTTGAAAAACACAGGAGCATTTTCCTGCCTGTTGGTTCTCTCAGAGATCTGTGATGGGGAGCGCAACCAATGAATTTATTATAAAAGCAACACATGTTTTTGAAATTCTTAATTAGTTGTGTGACTGGTTGAAGGCACCTCAGTCACTGGACAACAAAAAAGGTTTTAAATCCAAACACACACACACACACACACACACACACACACACACACACACACACACACACACACACACACACACACACACACACACACAGACACTCTCTCCTGCTACACAAGCTCTCTTCTCTTCCTGTCCAGATCACCTTGCAGGTGTAGTGTTTGAGTAAATGAGTAAATGCATCATGAATAACATAACTACGTAACTATGTGATTCAAAGTGACACCAACCAATTCCACTGTGTGTGTGTGTGTGTGTGTGTGTGTGGGTGTGTGTGTGGCTTCAGTTTCAGCTTCAGTGGGAGGTGTCGCTTCGTCAGCGCCTGAAAATCCCTTAGGTGCGGAGGAGTGGGGTGGGGGGGTGGGGGGATGGTTGCTCTGACTACCGCCCACACCTGTGGACCCTGTCTGGGCTGAAGGTGGCGGGCTGACTCCTCTCCTGCTGCCGTCCCGCTGGCCCTCTCTGTCTGGAGTAAAACCTCACTCCTCCACAGAGAGGAGGACTCTTCAGCAGAGCGCCCGTGCTCAGAGCCTCTGTCCTCCCCCGTTTCTCTCCCCCCTCCCCCCTCTTCTCTCCAGCTTCCAAAGCTTCTCCCTCTCTTAACCAGCGAAAGTGCCTTGTCACAGGATGTGTCTGTAATCTAGCCTCCCCAAACCTGCTGTTGAATCTGCACTGTTACTGTTTTCCAAACCCTGGAAATCCAAAGTTGACAAAGCAAACGACGAGTTGTTTTTTTTTTCCCCCCCGGGATGATGATGCGTGCTGAACATGGAGTCTGCCCTGGCCTGAAATGAACAGAGCTGTACGGGACCCAAGAAGAGGTCAAAGCTAAGCTGTTTGTCCGCTCGTTGCTAGAGATCACACTGTTCGCTCTCTCTCTCTCTCTCTCTCTCTCTCTCTCTCTCTCTCTCTCTCTCTCTCTCCCCCCCCCCTGTCTTTGCTGGCTGTCATTTGAACTCAAACCTAAGACTGTTTTTGCTGCGTTCTGTCTTTCCAGCTGTGGAGCAGTGGTGGTTATTGATGTGGCCGCTGACTGATAGCAAGCGCGGTTACATAAGCTACTGCGGGATCCTGAGGCACAGGAAGAATAATTTAATTTTTACGTTTTAATTTTGGGTGTAAAAGTTGTTTTTGTTTGTTTGTTTGTTTTTTTTCTTTTGAAGTTTTTTAATTTTTTCGGGAGATTTGCTGTGTAAGAAGTGTCTGCAGTCTCCTGTGCTGTTGCAAAAGGCAAATCAGCTGTTCTGTTATCGCTCTTAAACAGAGCTGGAGACGTTGTTACTTATTTCTTTTACGGTTACAGGGACAAACACATCAGTCCTGTCTGTCATCTGTCATCTGGACACGACCTCCAGTCTTTCTTTTTTTGTTTGTCCTTTTAATCAGCTTCATTATTTCTTGGTGTTCCTGCTGAAGCTGTTGGTATCATGGTTGTGTAACATATGAGATGTTTATTTTTTAAATGTATCTATATTTATAAAACAGCATAATGGTGGAAGAGGAAATGTTTAAGCACAAGTGTCTAAGCAGCAGCAGCCCCCCCCCCCCCCCCCCCCCAGCCCCTTCCAGCAACCCGCAGCACAAATTTTGATTTAAATCATAATAGTATTTTGGAGTCCATATTTGACAGGAAACTGGGTTGAGAGGATTCCTGAATGGGCGGTTGGAGTCGAGCTTGGCCGACCGCCGCCTCTCAGCTTCATTCGTCTGGCTGTCCTCGTTAATCAGCAGGTCTGATGCGGTTCAACATCTGTCGGAGGAGTTCGTCACAAGGAGTCAAGGCAAAGGGGCCCGATTACAGTGGGCCAGATGGCCATCTGCCTGAGATTGAAGAATAGATTTGTCTCCAAAAAGTAATTTAGAAGATGGCCATAATCCAGGCTTGATGATAGCGGGGCGAGTAAGCCGACGTCATTGATGTGATAAGGAAGACGGTGGTGCTGCGGAGCACTGAGCCCTCCGCGCCGTCTGGCAGATTGTTCACTATTTTTAGCCTCCAGGATCAGCACCAAAATATCCCGCTGAAATACAAGCGCACAGACGTAGATGAAATCTGACCTAGCTCGTTTAAAGTGTAACCACCTCTTAAAGTAAAAAAAAAAAAATAATAATAATGTTGTCACCTGCAGTAGGACATTGAAATGACAAAAACCGTGAATGAGTGACACTTGTTGGTGGTGTTTGTGCTCTGACCATTCCCCCTGTCTCCGGCAACAGAAGCGTCCAACGAACCAGGTCAAGGACGCTCGCAGGCTGCGCTCACCTCGTTTTCTTCAGTCATAAATCAGCTGGTTTCTGCAGCTGCAGCTCGTGACTCTTCAGAGACATGATTTAAAATCTAGCCATGAGTAATCAACACTGGAATAAAACAAAAAAAAAAAGTTGACCTTGTGCAGTTTTCTAAAATAAAGTAACAGTGTGGCCAGCAGTCACCCTGTCACCCTGTCACCCTGTCACCCTCTCACCCTGTCACCCTGAGAGTCGCAGGCTCAGATTCCTTTTTATGAAGGTTCTACTACAGTAGACGAAGAACACCCAGAGAAATCAATTCACAAATATCTTGTGATTTTTGGACACTTGGCTACTTTTGTCTGGTTTGAAACTTTTTCTTCTTATAAGTTTGTTGCCACGTATTTTAATGGTTGTTTCTCTATGTGAATGAAAGCTATGTTTTATTCAGTGAAGGGCATTGCCTGCCCTGTGTCAGCGAAAGACGTCTGTTAGAAAAATGCTGCACCACTCGATGTATTTCAGTTGAATTTGAACTTCGGGGACGTTTGAATCCCTCTGGGGTTTTTTTTTTTGGGGGGGGGGGGGGTGTCCTTTTGTCCTTTTCCCTTCTGAACTGTGATTCTTTGTCTGACGAATGAGAAATGACTTTTTTGTGGTGTTTGTTTCTGTGTTTCTAACTCTTTTGTATTTCACTCTGCCTCTCTGGGTCAAGTTGTTTGTGATACGGTGAAACATCGATACTTGAAAGTGTGAAACTGCTGAATCTTTGGCCTCAGGGCTGTCTGGATGTCCATTGGCTGTGGAAGTATTTTTGGTAGTGCACTAGATTTTTGCCATCAGTGTTTTATTTTTTCTTGTTTCTTTTTTTTCAAATTGTACATTTCTAATTGATCGTTTTATCCATTCTTTCATTTTGTATTGTGTCTCAATTATTATTATTATTATTATTATTATTATTATTATTACTATTGGTGTAATTTGACTATTGATAAGTAAATTCAGGCTGAGTTGATCCAGCGCACATGGAGGTGTGCAGTAGTAATACGGTATTTTCTTTCTGCTTGTCCTCTTACATTTACTTGAAAATGATGTTGATATTTTTAAAAAAATGTTTTTGTTTGTTTGCTCTTTTTCTTTGTTTGTTTGTTTTTTTTAATTTTTATTCCTTGTTCCTCTGTTGGTGGCAGTATGGCGGAAGTGAGTCGTGGTATACTGAGTGCTCCCATGTTGTTCGGTGGAGGCTCCTCCCCTTTCCTCCTCTTCTTGCACTGGCTCTGCCCAAACGCCTTTTTTTGCTGTATAGGCTACAACTGCTGATGCAATGAGCTGCCAGAAAAATGGCATCGAAATGTTTTATTATCATATAGTTTAATAAAAATCTACGATGGCACTATGTAAAGTTACACGTGAAGTTTTGCTTGTTTCTGTCGTGTTCGCAGGTTTATTTATTTATTTTTAAGATTGGGGACCTTCTCCACAACTAATAAGGAGAGTTTGGAGGAAAAGGTTGGAGAAACTTTGCCCAAAAAGTGAAAGAAATGTGAGTTTAACAAGCAACTTTCTGTGTTTTGCCTGCGGGTGAAGTACATGTAGTGGAGAAGCAGCAGAGAACACAAGGCAGTGTGTTATGAACTGTTGTTTGAGCTGGACCCTGCTGTGGCTCTCCATCCTCTCCACTCCAAGTTTAGTCTTCAATTTGAAAAGTGCTCTATACTGGGGGGAAAAAAACAAAAACCTGCATCGTGGCCTGAGAATTTCGCCTAATGTTGACTAACTAATGTAAATACTGAAAAACAAGGCGCCCCAGAAAAGCACCAGCTTCTCAAGTAATGACGGACCGCTCCATGGTTGAAGGAGCCTGTAGAAATTGTGCGTCATAATTCACAAGAAAGTAAATATAAGGGGAGTGGAAATCAGGAATGATGAGTTTGTTTTACTGTTATTTTCAGCACTTTATCTGCTTTTGGCATTAACTGTTGAATAAAAAAGTTTTAAGTAGCTGCCATCCACAAGGAAATAGGCTGTTTATTCTGCTTTAATGGAGTAAAAACAACAACACTGAAAAAATTCATTTTAGGCTTGAAAGGTTTCGCTTAAATACCCGAGACCAAAATGCCAACTAACAAGAAGCTTTTATTAATATTTTTACAAACAACATTTATTATTGTCTCCCCTTTTTTTTTTTTTTTTTTACCATTTATTTATTTAGAGAAAGCCATTTTCAAGCCATTGCTAAGTGTTTTTTGGTTTCACTCTGCGTTTATTGGTTAACTGTGTTTACTGGAAGTTTTAATGGAGCTCCAGGACGTTCCACTTTTATTACAGCCAGTCCCAAACTAATGCTGGGATTTATTGTAACCGTCTTATCAACCACGTCACGTGTGAGCTGCTCGGAAAAACCCCACAGCCTAACTTTTTCCTTCATCTGACACACCTAAGTCAGGAATAAATAAAGGCAACTTCCTGTTTAACTTTGATTTTTATAGTGAAAGGTTAAAGGTTCAGATAAGGAGGAAATGACGAACTTAACCCTGAAACTAAGACTTGTTTCTAATTTGCATTCAAGCGCTTCAGGAGCAGTGAATTGTTTGAGGGGAATTTATTACACTTGCTCCTCTGACAGATTAATCCACCAACTGATGCTGCAGTAAATTTAGTTTTTAAGAGATAGAGAAAAAAAAAAAGATGATGATCACGATGAACCACAATTAAATGACATCCATCTTAATAACGAGGAAATCATAGACAAATGTTTTGTTATTTCCCAGAAACATGATCTGAGTAAATACCTCACATTTTTTATTACAGTTCTGTAAACAAAGTCATATCAAAACACACACAAATCATCTGTACAATATATAAAGTTGTCAGCTGACACATTGTGATTACATTCATTCACTATTTGTTGTTCTTCAGCCAACCAGATATTTAAGTGTAGTTTAGTAGTGTACTGCTGATGTATACTGTGGAGAAGGATAAATTCCAGCTTTGTAGCGTTAAAGCCGCCATGTGCAGAATTTTTATGTGATTATAATTTAAATATTAACAACAATTCAGGTTATCCTGGTAGTATGTGACAGTATAACACAAATGTCCACTGGAAATTGATGCAGTCTGTGCTGCTTTCAGCCCTTTCATCTCTGCGTCCTCTGATGGGATCTGCCACCATGTCTTTGTGTTTCTTAAACTGCCACCAGGGGGCACTAAAAAGAGACACATTGTGGATTTAACATCTGTAGTTCTGCTGAAAGTTGAAAACCTGAGGTGCGGACAGATGTGTCTAGTAATAATCAAGTGCACTTATCAAAGCTGAAATTACGCAGCGACGGTTTAGTGTCCAGTATTTAAAATATTAGCGTCATATTATACATTATGTGCAGTTACAGTGAAGTGCAGTTAGTGGAGAGGTTCACTCCGTCATACGAGGTGGTCTGGTGAATGGGTTGAAAGCAACAGTGGTGGTCACGGTAGTGGGGTCGGAGTCGACGCGTTGTCGCATACAGCGCATGTTTCCAGTGCTGAAGACGCACTGCAGCGGCCACAACACGATGACGACAAGCAGCACCATGAGCACGATGAAGAGCACCATCCTCTTCCAGTCCGCCATCCGGCCCAGCGCGCCATGAGTCCGTGGCCGCGTCTGGGTCGGAGCGGCCACCGCCTTGCTGGCCCCAATGTCAACGCAGACGCAGAAGGCCGTGGGGCTGTCGGAGGCGCCCAAGTCGGCACTGTGCCTTGAGCTGTTGTAGCACAGCTTCTCCCCCTCCAGATATACCGACTCCACCTGCTGCTGGTGTTCGGGAAGCTTGCCCAGGACCTCGCCGCTGTTGGCCAAGGCCGGGGGTCCCTCCTCGGGAAGTGTGGTGAGGTGGCGGCAGAAGGGGCAGGAGAGGCGCCCTCTGTTGCCGGTGGTGTCATCGCCGGCCTGCGAGACTACCATGAGGCGGGAGAGACACTCCAGGCAGAAGGTGTGGGTGCACTCCAGCTGTTTGGGTGCTTTGAAGACATTGTCATAATTGTAGCAGCAGATGGAGCACTCCGGCTGACTGACGACTGACACCTTCTTTTGCAGCCCTCCAGTCGTGTCTTGGGCTCCGACCTGTGTGTGCCAAATTTGTGGAGACTGTTCCATCTTCTTTCTCTTTTGTCCAGTCCCTCTTTGAACTCTCCTTTCTTAATCTGTAAAACAATGAATGAAAGATAGAGATTAATTTTCATATTTTCAGATGGTAAGCGTGAAAACAAGCAAGTGAAAACCATTTTTCCAGTCATGCACGACCATAATCCCCACATGTTAACAGGATTACAGTCAATCAGTGATGCATTTTCTGCAGCCCAGCTGAATGTTGAACTTCGAACTATTTCTACCCTCACACGCAGGACACGTAATTTTACAAAGCTGACAGGATGTTGGACTCTCAATGAGTAATTCACTCGTGCACAAGATGCAAAAAGGGTCAGATGTGTTGAGTAATGTTTACAAAAGCAACAAAAACAAGCAAAAATAAAATATCTCAGTTAAGTAACATGCCGGCGCAAGACAGGGAAAGGACAATGTCCACCCCCTTATTTTGTGTGGACTGTTCTGCAGTTACAGCGTGAGCGTTTTTGTTTGCATGGACACAGTGTTCTTCAGGCAACACAGAAAAAAAGGATTTCTCAGTCTTGACTACATTTTAATCACGACACAACAAGCCACATTTGACACCTTTAATTCCATTTTAAATTATTAAAATTATTTACCACTATTACTAAGAATAAAAGCCCCTGTTGGTGCAGTTTGCTGCTGTAACACCTGACCCGTGAATGACTCAGTGTCTCGGTCATGAACATGCAATGAAACCCAGAGAGTCATAGTTTGCTGAGCCTCACTGCAAAATTGATTAGATGATTTTCCCATTGAGCGCATTAATAATCATCAGGCTGTTGTAAATATTAAGCGTGGTGACAGTGGATGTTTGGTTTGGGCATGGAGTCAGTGAGTGCAAACCTAATGGGCTCTTCTTTCAAATATCTCTATGTCAATATACATAGTGAAAATACAAATTCTGCATTATCTAACCAAAGATTAAGCAAGCTAACTTAGGTACATTTACACTCAAAAGAAAAGTTTAGCCCGTGCTAGCTATTTTAAGCTAGGTGTTCACTACAGCTGATGGCTTTTAACCCCCGAACCCCTGCTGCACACACCATATTTATACAATACCATTTATACCACCGTTATTATAAGGTTTCAGTTTTAAGTGCGTAGTTGATCTGTGGACGAGCTAACAACAAACAAAACTGATAAAACACAATACAGTTTATGTTTTCAAAACAGATAACACCAGAATATCCCAAATATCTCATCTGTGTAGCTCAGATAAGAGCGTAGCAGTGTTATCTTATGGAGTTTACATGCAACAGTTTGCTACAGGAATCCAAGTGTTTTAAATTTTACTCGACAATTTGCATACAGGCCTAATGGTGGCTAGCACAGTGTAAACATGCACCAGCTGTTACAGGGAGTCACTGGGTCCTTCTCGCATCAAGCAGCACAGTATGTGGCCCTACCTGGGACAGTATATAAACACAGGCAGCTTTGTTAATGTGAGAGCGCAGTATAGCAACTGTAAAGAAGCTAACAGACCAGGTTTTGGGACCATGTAAAGTCTGCAGGACTCTGGGCTTTGAGGACTAAATTGCTGCGCTCTTCTGAGTCTGGTCTCCTTTGTCTCATATTTTTTTAAGGATGATGAGAATATTACATGATAATAACTTGCCCGCTGGTGTTGTGGGTCAGGTATTAAAGGGCACTAATGTGAAGAGGACTGTGTGCGTTTGTGTGTTGGGGATGACGGATGGTCAGAGCACAGGTGTTCTGTCTGTGCCCTCAGGCCTGGTCCTGCCCCAGTACTCCCATTCACACAAAGTCCCTGCTTGTTCTCTGTTTAATCGCTCCATCTACCCTTGAAATTCCTGCACCACAAACTCTTTCTCTGCGTCTCCACTGAATTCAGACATACTTTAGGGGGATGAGGACGGATTTTTCTGTATTATTACACTTGTCTTATCAGGTTAAAGTCCCCACCCCCCCACCTGATGATGGTGACTCAGTTTCCCTGTTGCCTAAATGTAAATTGTATCACTGGGTGCGGTGATTCACTGAAATCTCCCATGCAAACGTGCATCCAGATAAAATTTTACCTCACGGTGACTGGCTGTTTTTATTAACCCCACCTCACCAGCCACTACGTATCCAGGGACTGTGCAGGTGACCAAAAAAAAAAAAAAAAAAAGTCAAGGAAGTATCTCAAACATTCAAATGAACACAATCACTTCTTATTTTCAAGTGAGGCTGCTGAAGTGAGCTAAATGCAGCTTTATGAAAGGACCAGGCAAACACACGCTAAATCAATACATTACTGGAATAAGATAAACAGAGACAGTTTGTGTTAATTGTCTCCAACAACTAGAATCAAACTGTGCCTTTTCACCTCACTTGAGAACTGGGGGATTGTTTTGTTCAAACCAAGTCATTTGGATTTGAATAGGCAGGAACAAACCACAGCCAGAGGGACTAACTTTGCCTTTGGTTCTGTGTCGTTATGACGATTAGCATACTCATAGTATTGGCTTGTATTTGCACAAGTGCTCATTTACACCCATAACGGTTCATATTAGGTTAATCAGTGTGTTAATCACGGGTCAAAGAGATCAAGCTCAAGGTCTTTGCAATGAGACAGAGTTTTCCAAAGCCTCAGGCTATGTTGCCTGTAGCGCAGGCACTAAGTAAATAGCAACTGAACAACAGCAGCAGAGACTTGGACATTCCACAGCTCTATGTCTAAATTCCTGCTCGTCTTACTTACAAATGCAAAAATGTATTGTTTACATCGTTGTCTGACCCTCCGTCAAACTTTAACACATATGCTGAAATATGTATCTTAGTTTTGTTTTAGTTTTTTTTAGAAAATGAAGAATGGTGTAAACACAATCTGGTCATGAATCTATTTCACTCTTTAATTAAAGAGAGGAAGGAAGGAATAAGTCATCTTTCCATTTTTCTTTTTTTACAATTGAAAGATTTAATTAATAAGCAACTAAACACGCCCTGCTCTAATCAGTACACTCACTGCTACAGGCTTATTTGGTCTGGTATGACCAGTAGCTTATGCACTGTGGACACTGTTAAACTAAAGTAAACTGCCTGTTTCAATGCGAGATGTAACAAGACAAAAAGCACGTGGAAGCCTTTTCTTTAAAAGTGTGTCCAGGTGGAGGAAATACAGTTTGTCGGGCTTTGTGGCCAGAGCTGAGGAGGTCATATACTGTACAGCAGACTCAAATATTAACTCAGAACAAGTTATTGCTGAACCCAAATTAGCTTCAAAGACGAGCTTGGGGGAAGCGTCTTTCTTGTCTCACAGTTCAGCACAATATTTTGCTTTGCTCTTAACTTCATGGTCCCTCATCGCTTTCAGCGGCACATGTTTTCCTCGTCTCGTCCGTCCTACTGACCCATTAGTGTACAAATCACAGACCTCATTTGTTAGTCAAATTTGAGTTGTTTTTTTTTTCTTTTTCAGCCTCATATAAAATACTGTAGTTTTCTTTTTCTCTGTGTCTTTGTGTCTCTGGGGTTTAGCTTTGTGTATCTTCAGCTACAAGTTCAGCTCAACCGTCAACCACAATGCTGCCCTTCCTGTTCCCAGCTTGCGGGAACAGGTAGGACAGGGGGTGGGGGTGGGTTGGCCTGTTTAACTGAACGTGAGCCTGGCCAAGGCAAAAAACAGACCTGAACATGTAGAGATAGCACATGTGTAAATACAGCACACAATACACGAAACTGTATACACAAGTGAAATGTGACTATGGAGCGGTGCAGCTGCTAGTGTGCTTCTGTTATCTACCTTGTGATGGATGGATGTTTCTTTGAAATGAAGTGTACAGCATATGGTGATGTATTACAGATGAATCCAACAGTTTGCAGTTGGTATTCTTTGTTATCTATTGGTATTTGATTCAAGAGGAATGACTTAACTCACAGTGCTGTGGTTATTAAAAAAGAGTCACAGCCTTCATATCAAAGGAAAAAAGCTTCAATGAAAACAACAGTTGTAGTGAAACAGTCTTGTGCTGGAACAACAGTAAGCCACAGACTGGTGTAAAGAGCACAAAAGGCTTCAGGCAAAATTCAGAGTAAAGGTTCAGTTTACCTGTTAACTGAAGAAGATGTCAGATGATCCTCTCTTTATCTCTCTGGGTCGGGCGCAGCTCTCTCCCTTTGCACTCAAAGATGCATTTTTCTGAAGTCAAAGTCAACTGACCTCTGAGATCCCAGCAGGGAGTTTGAGGGGGGGGTATTTAATTGCCGCCTGTACCCGGGCTGAGGTCCTTCTCTGTACTGGTCCAAATAATCTGCTGGAGCCACAGGTGTGTGTGAGAGTGTATGTGTGTGGGGGTGTGTGCTCAGAGGCTGAGTAATAGCTGGCTGTGTCAATGTCAGCTCTAGGTCCTCCTTCCTCGACGTCCGTTGGCCGGTATCACCTGCCCTGCTCTGTCAGCTCCCTTTTTAGCACTTTATGCAAATTGGTTTAGACGGTGTCTCGGCCTTGAGGTGGTGTCTGAAGGCGGGGATGGGGAGGAGGGGGGGGAGGGGGAGGGGGAGGGGGAGGAAGACACCTCAAGACTTCAAGGAAAGGAATACACATTCTTGCCAGATCACCACCCCTCCCTGTTGATATCTTTGTTTTTCATCCTCACCTCTTTCTACCTGTCTCCACTGTCTCCCCACCCTCACAAAAAAGAAAACACACACATGTGATGCAAATATACCCTCTTACCCCCAGGCTAATAAACAAACACATACAGTTAATCAAATCCTTCAACTGACTGGTCAGCAGTAGATCACATCAGGCTGCATCTTTAGAATGACTAAATGCAAACTGAGCCGATGCAGAGTCACTCCACCGTGTTGGACATTAAACACATAAGACACACAAGCTACATACGTTTCCCATCAGCCAGTTTGCTTAAGCGACACAGTGCATATAAGGGATTCATTTCCATTGAGTCAGTGATAAGGAAACAGGTGGTGATACAGAGCTATCTTCTCACCGGAGCACTCTGTGTGAATAGGCTCTTCTTTACCGACACGGTGTCGCCGGTCAGTATGACACATCAGCGCCCGGCGGGTCGTCCCCACGGTGTTAGAACTTTTCAATGCACGCATGTGTATTTTTTGAAAACAGCAGGCGAGGTGTCTCATAATGACAAAAGCAATGTCACGTTTGGTCTTAGAGGGCGAGATCAGCATTAAGCATAAAAAGAGCTTTTCTTTCAAGTCTGCATTCATTTCATTTTTAATTCAGGAAATAAACATAAAAATAACAAATGAACATCCAGCAGGAAGAAGCTCCTGCTCATTAAGATAACTTGAAGCATGTTTGTTGGAGTTTTTTTTATTTGATTACTCATTTTATTTTATGGTAATGACTCACGGCTCTGGGCTATTAGCAATAGCTTGTCTCCGCAGTAACAGCTGCCTAACTGACTTGGTTATTTAGTAACCCAAACACAAATACTCCCGTATCATATCAGCAAAGTCATTTATTGGGCGTTGAGTTGTGAGTGCTTTGGAAAGGGAAAGGTATACAATCAAAAGCCATTTTATTTCCTTGCCTGGAATCAACAAAACTTGGCTTCATAATAAACATGTGAAAGATTTAGTGCAGAATGGAGGGTTGGGTGAAGCCGCCGCTGAGGTTGGGGAGGGATACACGTGAGCAGGGAAGTGTGTGTGTGTGTGTGTGTGTGTGTGTGTGTGTGTGTGTGTGTGTGTGCAGGCAGGCTATAAAATGATACAATGTTGACTGTCTGCCTCCTCGACCTGACATTTATTCAAACACTAGAGAGCAAAGATGATATTTTCAATCTCTGTTTGAGATTTTGCCCCCCCGCCCCCCCCAGGGGCAAAATCTGTGCTTTTGCATTTTTTTTCAGTTTAAAACATACAGTACAATGTTATGTCTGACCCAGATTGGTAAAGATGGACAGCAGGGTGTGTGTTTTGTTGACTGCAGGGATTGGACTCTGACTATAGTAATCCCAATTTTTCATTCAGTTTCCTACAACAAAGCCGAGGGTTTCACTTCACCCACAGACCGTGAATCCTTATGCACCACTGGAACAAGCTATAACTATGGTTTAATGCTAATCTTAGCAAATGTTAGCATCCTAACATGCTAAACAAAGATAGTAAACCTTAAAGCTGCTGAGCTGCAGCATGATAACATTGTCATTGTGAGCATGTTTTCGCAAGCTGACATCGGCATTTAGCTCAAAGCACCACTGTGCCTGAGCGCAGCCTCACGGAGCTGCTTTAATAATGGCCTGAATCCATCCTGCAGGAATGAAAACACTACAGTAATGTTTTAGATTTCTGCTGCTCCTGTGCAATGCAGGGTGACAACATGTTTTGTCAGTCAAGCTCCAGAGGAAGAAATCTTAACCTTTCCTCTCGTGCCACTACAATTTCCACTTCCATACTCTTCATTCTATCTACTGACTTTTTCGCCAGCATTGACCTGTGGATAAACTTCAGACTTTAGACTTACGTTTCAGGTGTGTTTGCCTTTATTAGTTAATGTACAGTAAAGAATCTAAAGGGTGATGGGAGGCCAAAGACAAAGGTGAATGACATGATGCAAAGGGCCCCAGCCAGGTTTGAACCAGAGACACTGCCATTACATGGTAGGGATCTTTGACCACTAGATCTCGTTGACGGACAAAAACTTGGCATTTACTGGAAAGAATAGCAAAAATCATCACTATGTTGTGTATTCCACTGATACACCACTGATGGATTATTTATTGAACAGGCCCTCCATGCACAGGCCCAGGGGCCCTGAGAGGTCAGGGGCCTGAAAAGACACCGTACAACCATAAAAAAATGAGCACAGTGACGCAAAATGACCATAAAGAGACAAAAAATGACCATAAAGAGATGCAAAGTACCAGAAGGAGATGCAGAACGACCATAAAGAGACACAGAACGACCACAACCAGATGCAAAATGATCACTAAGACACATAAAGCACCAGTCTGGGGGTCCCACATATGAGGTGTGTGGGTGGCCTTTTACTTTTTTTTGTCCATGGCCCAATTTTCTTTGTCCATGCATGTTGGAAACTTGATGAACACAAAACTTTAAATGCACTTTTAAGTATTTACTTTTGCCACAGTGTTAATTGTAGTTTGCAGTAGGATTGGTGTCTTTTTCAGTGGGTGCACATGTTTTAAAATTCTCATTTCAGTAAATTCTCTCGCTCTCGTTCACACTGATTCACAAAGCAACCTCACAGTCAGGATACACAGGGATAATGCATGAACCACTAAAGCTATAGCTGTAGCGTTGCATGTGTTAACTGATACAGGAGCTTTTGGAGGTGATGAGGAAACCAGACACCTCCAGGTGCCTTTTTCTGCTTTCCAACACCCATCTGCTTCTCTACACCTCCAGCAAACCAGCAGCAGCAGCGTCACGTCAGTTTTTTTTTTTCAACATGAAGTGAAAAACATGGCAGTGGTCCTGTATTTGCTGTCAGCGAATGAGGTGCCAGAGCTGAGAGAAGGTCACTGTTGAGCTTTAATCAAAAAGCACAAATCCAATAAATGCCGTGGGTGACAGCTGCGAAGCATGTTAGCAGAACAAACAAGAAGAGTTAAGTTGTGGGGTAAAGGTGTAAAGGTTTTGTGGTGGAATGGCCCTTTACTTAACCGAGGACGGCAGCCGCCACTGAGACATACAACCAACAGGAAGAAACACAGCGTCCAAATGTTGCCATGTTTACAGTGGTGGATAGCGGCATGGATTCTCCGTCTCCCCAGGATTGTGCAGCAGTTGATATTTACCTTTACACAGTACTTTCAAGAAAGCATATAATACTTAGATTTGACTCACACTATTTTTACTAACCCCAAACATAACCAAACTCCTTTCCAATCTGCCCCCCCTCTACTCAGTCCACTTGGTTTGCCCCAATGAGGCTGATCGAACACACCAGGCCCTGGTCATCAACGCTCTCACGGCACGACTCCATGACAGTCCCGGTCCCAGGATATCACCTCAGAGAGAGAGAGAGAGAGAGAGAGTGATCAGAAACAAATCTAGAAAACACTGCAAACAAAAGCATCTCCTGGAAATGAATCTAACATAATACATCAATCAACTAAATAGGATCCACCATCAGCCGATTAATACATTAAAAAGAATCACTAAACAAATATTTAAACTTACGTGTCTGAGTGTCTGAGTGCATGTATGTGTTTGGGAAGGTGGGTGTAGGAACTGCAGCTGTTTAATGAGGCGATGCTCGCAGCTCCCTCACAAAAGGATGTAGTTTTGACTAAAGTATAAGAGCTCAGGGTTATGAATATATGAATACTGCAGGAATGTTTGCACAAAGGTAAATGTAATTTATATTTCAATCTCTCTATGTGTGATACAATGCGAATGAATGGCGCACATTAGACTGTAAATCATGTTTTGCTCCAGTCACCTATTTCTTCGACGTATTCCATAGTCATGTGTGACAGGTGGCTCAAAGGAACATCAAAACAGAGAAGGTAAACACGGGAAAATATTGATTTACAGCTTGTGGATGGCTATTTTACAGTTTACTGGTAGGCACTTTATTTCATCAACTTATCTTTATGGCCCACCACTACAAAACAGTCACGTTCGACTTCAAATAATCTTTGGCCCTGCAGGTATTACTATAGCGCTCTCTGTGTTTTGTTGATGAGTCATGTATTGAGGAAGCCGGAAGTATATGCGCATGTTGTTGATAATGCTCCTTATCTGGGTCATATTATCATTATGGTTAAGAAATTAACTAAAGTTTACATCAGCGCAGGATGTGCAATGGCTTTGTTCAAAAAAAAAAAAAACTAAGATCAGTTGAAGCAAGTTACAAACCATGTGTCGCTCAGGTTTCTACAAGGTTATCACAAGTTCTAAGAATAGCTTTCCATAACAAAGATCCTAATGTCGGACTGAGGTCAAGCACTGTTTCTGTTTGGAGGGAGATTATCATTTTCCAACCCACTGACCTTCACTGTCAACATGTGGCTTTTATGGTTGTGTTTATCCTATTTTATTCTCTTGGAAATTGATGACACACTGTATAAAACACGTGTTACTCTGCCACACACATACACACACGTACACACACGTACACACACCCCCTCTGTTTTTCCACAATGACTATAATGGGTTGGTTGCAGCTTGTCAACAAATGTTATATTAAATCAGACGTATTTCCTTTTTCTCTTTTATGTCTCTCTTTGTCTGTGATGATGAAAAGTTTTCTGTAACAGACAAATGTAAAAATGATAAAGGACAGGTTCATATTTTTAAGCCCGTCTTTAAACAATACCCACATGCACCTGTGTTTACTGAAATTGGCCGCAGAGAGATCCTTTTCTAACAATATTCCACCTTCCTCGCTCTGTGTAAAAATGCAC